CAGGCAGGCAGGCAGGCAGGCAGGCAGGCAGGCAGGCAGGCAGGCAGGCAACAAAGCAGCATGTTGACACCACCTCATTCTTGAGGTACTACAGTTACTACTGAAGCTATTACGTATATAGAAACATTTTAATAGTGATGAAAAATGGAAGAGGAGCTAACCCTTTGCACTTTTTAGGAAGTCCCAGAACTCAAAATGAGCTGCAGGTCTATTCCTTGCTTTTTTCTGTTTCATAGATTTCCCATCTGTAGGGATGTTCTGATATTTCCTGAAGCAGCTTCATATCAGTAGAGATAAATAGCTAACTGATATGATAATACTTTTATCTATTTGGCTATTGGGTGAAAATTCAGGAACTATATCAAGCCTGTTTTATCTTTACTAGATAAGATAGAGTGCAAATGACTTCTAGCAAAAATATGTTAAGAAGAGTTCAAGGACATTGCAATAATATCAGTAAACACAATAGCAGCTTATGGAAAAGGGGAAAAGAGGGAACATCTTTTTCATGTGAAGCCAAGAGAAGTCTAAGAAAGGAACTTTTACACTATAATCCCAAGATAAAAGTGCTGGATAATATTGATGGGCTGTCCCTCTCATGTCTTTTAGCACGGGCCCAAGACACTTTCCAGCCTGAAGTGGATCAACAGCACCCAAAACTGAAGAAGTTATTTTGGCACATGAAGCAGAATATTCTGCAAACACTTCTCACAATCCCCAGTATTAAGAATACAATAATGAAGTATTTAATAACAAATAACTTTCTGACCTTTCATGACATTTTCAGTCTGTCACTTTGGCTGCTTCACCCTGCCTAATGCAAAGGTGAGCGATCAATGCGCCAGGGAGCCACAAGGAGTCTCACCTACTTTTCTCACCAGAAAGCTGATCAAGATAAACAGGTCATTGATTTTCTGCTATCATTAGCAGTAGGAACACAACATTCTGTTCTTCTCAGGCCAGCTGATCATCAGAGAAATCAATGGGAAACAAGCAACCTTAAGCAGAATTACTGGAAACAAAAGAGATTATGACTGCTCTCCAGGACCTACCAGCCTTTCTAAACAGTGCTAGAATAAAAACCATAAATTAGCAAACAGAAACACTGGAAAGAAAGTGCCTTATTCACAGCAATTCACTCAGGATCACCAGGAGAGAGGAAAATAAATGTAATATGTGTGTGTGGTACATGTATTTGTATGTCAACAGTACAACATATGCAGTCCCAAAGTTTAATTCAGCCCTTGGGACCACAGAGGTTGCCAATCTCTGGGCTAATGAAACAGCCACTCGTGTTAGAACTGCCTCTCTGTATCAAGAACATCAAGAGCTATTTCCTGTTCTGGAAAATTTGCTACCGGAAAACTGCTGGGCTGCCCCCAGAATGGTCAAATCAATGTGATCCTGAAAAAGATAGGCACATTCTAGAACACAACATTTTGCACGCTGTGGGTGTGTGTGTACAAATTAAAATAATAATAATAACAACAACAACAACATACTTAGCCTGTGCTCCTGGAACTGCCTGATTGAGAAAGGCATTTGTCTCATTGAATTCATTGATACCAATTGAATAACCTGTGAGGTTAGGATTGAATTCACGAAGGATATCTGAAAGAAATGGCAAACCATGAAAGAAAGAAAGAAAAATCAAAGGATTTGTTTAGAGGAAAATTTACTTCACAGTTACTAGATGAAGGTAGTGCTCTGTTCTCCATTAATCTTTGTGTACATTAGTAGAATATAGGTACTACTCTGCATGTATCTCATAGGGCTAGCAATGTATCAGAGCAAATTAGCAAAATTAGCTCACTAGGAAGCTGTTGACCTAAACTGTGTCCTGTCATATGTCCCCATGGAGCAAGAAGTCTTTTCAAGCATATACTGATAATCGCAACAAGGCCATCTCTTGACTAATACCCCGTGGGGTATGTCTGAACATCAGAAGCTGCTTTACAGATCACTGACCAGCAGGAATTCTCCAGTTCTTGCCCAGCCCTACTGGAGATGCCAGAGATTGAACTTGAGGCTGTTTACATGCAAAGCATGGGTTACAATACTGAGCCACAGCTTTTTTCCTGTTTCCTAAAGCAAAGGACATGATTACTGGGCAGCAAAAGATGGGTACACAGAGGATGAGATGTGAGATGCTGATACAAACAAAGGCTGGTGAGTATCTCAGATGCCTTTGACTGCAATATGGAAAAATTGTACATTTGGAAAAGCTTCCTGGCTTTTGGTTCCCTTATTTTGCTGTTCCTGTTGGAAAGAGAAGGGGAGGGTTTCCACATGTGAATGTGTTTTGTGTGTGAAAGAAAGAATGGTCGGTGAATATAGATGGGAAATTAATGCCTTTTATAAATTAAATCAATACATTTCATTTTAAAAGCAATACACAATTGCATGCAGTCCTGCCTGTTTTTGGAGTGTGACTTCTAGCAGATACATATACAACTTATATTCATACCCATATATTACACACACATTACTAATATGGAGATCACAGGACTGACTTCAGCTGAGGCTGGCACTCTGAGATTGATAAAATAAAGAAGCTGCTATTGCCCAGGATTTTAATTTGTTTTCATTTTTTTTCTGTCTACTTTTCCTTGTGGGGAGGGAGTGTCATTCTAAATGCAAAAGTGGCTTCCTTTGGATAAATATGGCAGACTTTTTAATGTTAGTTTAATGTTATTTACTAGTATTGTAATTGGAGAGACAGGATATACTGTATATTATTGAATTCAGGGGTGATTCAGAAGATTTGTAGAGTAACAAAGCAGGACAAGTATTAGAGGATTTCAATTTAATCGTAAATTATAATTAACAAATCCAGAGTAAACTGGCCATCTATAATAAAAGCCTTGAAAAAACAAAACTGTCTTATTCCCATCTACAGATAAGATGATATTTTGGTTTGATCAAACGTTCAGAGTCAGGAAACAATACCTAATTTTAAGAATAATTTTGATATCAGCTGCAAAATTGAGTTCTGTGCATGTGTTGGCCATAGATTCTATCCTTCTTGAGTCATTTACTCTTAATTAGAATACACAGAGGGAGTGACTGCTATTTTCACACAGCACAATTGCAGAAGCCAAGTTTTGACTTACTTGGTAAAGTTGTTACATTCTGTAATGAAGCGTCTCCTCCAATGCTGCAATAAGAAAAACAGAAGAAGAAAGACAGACACCAAACCCCTGTTAGTGAAAATGAGAACTGGTGACAAGCACCTTCTTTTTCAAGAAAAATGCAATTTAGGTAGAATGATACTGGAACTGAGAGATGCTGAATACAGATAGCAGGGAAAGGAGAGGATGGAGAGGACAAGGTATATAAATGAATAAATATTTATGGAATATTAATGCATATATCATCTGAGCAAGAACTGAATTTGCTGATGACAAATGGGAACCTTCACATAACATGGCCAGTGTTTCATATTCCAGATTTCTATAGAACAAGGGTAACCTTTATTTTGAAGGAAAGAGCAACTTTTTAAACCTTCCTTTGCATAGCAGATCCAGAGGTTCACAAGCTAGTCCCTCTCCAGAAAATTCTGAACATTGTAAATCTACAGGGAGAGGAATATGGATCCATAGTAAGGTATTCTTAGCACATCAGCAAATAACAGCTCTCAAGATTTTTGAGATATCATCTCAGTTAAACTGCTTAAAACTGGTATTATTTTGCCCCATAGACATAGAGCACATGCTGAAACTTTAAAAATGCAAGATGAATGAAGTGGCCTCTTTGCTGAAAGGCCTAATGTTCTTTCAAAAGTGTTCGGAAATAGCTTAGTTGAGTGTACTTTTGATCTTCTGAAAGAGTGCTCAACTCATATTCAGAAACAGTTCCTCTAATAAGTAACAGGCACACAGAAGCAGCATGGAGGGAAATGCTCTGCCCAGCCCTTCCTCTACATCTGTTACTTGATGGGCTATTTCTAAACAGGGGGGCAAGGCTCTTCTGAAAGAATGTGAACCCAGCTGACAGATAACAAGCACAGAAGGGTATATGGGGTGAAGCAAGAGGAGAGGGAGGACCAAACCATAATGAGTGAGCTGTATTCCCAATCAGGGTTGAAAGGAAATGGAGTTCAGTTCAGACTTTGTGCCAGCCACACCTGGAAGTAACCACTGGTTGGCCATGGAGAACATGGGCACTGGAGTGGACTTCCAAACTTGCCCAGTGGTGATTGGCCCTCATGTAATGACAGCAGTCATCACTATGGTACTGGTACCATCAAAGGTGGAATGGAGTTTGCCCCTCCCAGCAGTGAGGACGTAAGTAACAAACAGCCTGAAAATTGCAGCAGCCTCAGACTTGTCCTGGCAGTGTTGATCTGATCAGGGCAATAGTTTTAGCACTCATGTGTGAGTCCATTGCAAGAAGAAAAATTATAAAAACAGGGTGAAGGAGGAATTGCAAGAAGCATTGGGAGAACTCTCTCCCATTATACCCTGAGTCCCTCTTAGCTCCTGCCATCTGTAGCTGGGTAACTTGACAGGTGGATAAACCTACTGTTCTAAGCATTTGTCTAAACTGGTCCCACTCCTGCATTCAGGAGAAGGATAAGTGCTTGTCTTCCCCACCAGCTGTGAAACTGGAGAATCCACCAATTCCTTTCCTGAACTTGGACTGTAATAAGCAAGAAAGGACAGCTGGGCTTGTGACTGTGGCAGAATAGGAATCAGTGGACTTTTCTGCTGGCTCACAGATGGGTGGATAACAGTTTAACCCAGCCATGACTTGAGCCCAAAGACAACACACCTACCTCCAAGCCAGACCCCGATATTGTGTATGCATATCCAGCATATCATTTGGTGCTGACCCTACGCCAATACCAGCCTGTCTCAGAAAGAACAGAAAGAAAGAGAAATTTGACCATTTATGTAATCACGTTTTCCTTTTCTTTTTTTATTGCTCAAATGAAACAACCAATTTAAGTCTTTGGCTCCTAAGGCATGGGCAACTGACCATTTTTAGTCAGAGAGTGATATCATCATCATCATCATCATCATCATCAGCCTCCCCTGCATTACATTTTGAAAGCTCTAAAATAGTGGCCGCATACACCATGTTCCATCAACAAGATTTATGAATGCATGAAGTAGTGTTTTAAAATATTATAAGGATGCAAGATTAATGGAGCAATACACTGCGAAATTCATTGAGAAGTGTCACACTATCAGTCCAGTGAGCTCTTGTACTACTACTCTCCCATTATTTATTCAGTGAAGCTGAATGCAGAGAAGGCAAAATGGGGTTGGTGCATATTTGCAAAGGCGCACCACAGACATCTGCTTGCAACAAAGGAAGAAAATGGAGATTTGGGAGGAATCTTGTTGGGAGGAACAACAGGAAAATTTAGGCATGGATACCCCTGGCATAGGCCACATCCACACAGCTGCTGCACTGTGCTCCCCTCCAGTCCTGGAGCAATTGGGAAATGATGCCACCTTAAATCTCCCTCCCACTTCACCTACACAGAATGAGCACTTAGAATGCACCCAGAACAGCTGTCCATACAGCTTTAACACATGACATTCTAAGGGCTGTGATCCTTCATCTGAAATCCCAACTCTAGCTATGAATGTTCAACTTTTAAACTTCTGCATTTGCAAAAAAAAAAAAGTAAGCCACTTGACTTTGTTTTTTTCCTCACTGTCAGCCTCTGTCAAATTACTATTAAAATGATAGTAACTTAGAAGTGTTTTGCCACTCACGCCAATAGCCCAACTTTGGTCAAGTTGGGGAAGTAAAGGATAAAGTAACAGAATGATGGTGTTTCCCTTTAAGACTCAAAGCAGCTGCTATCAATGCCTGATCAAATGAGTTAATCAAATGATTAAGACTGTCAGGTTTGTTGAAAAATCCACACTGCTTGGATTTACATGAAAACTTGAGGCATAATGGATGGATTCATACTGAGTCAGAGAAACAAAATCTCATTAGGGCTTAAAATTATGATGAATTTATGGCTACATTTCCACAGTGGGAGTGGCCTTGACCTCTCCCAGGGGCCAGTGCATGAACCCTGTTCTCTGCATTTAAGCAAGCAAAGTGTAAGGCAGCACTTCTAGGAAAAGAATGGCAAAAAAACCATGCTTCTTACCGTAAAAGAATCTCCCAAAGCAGCTATTACTTGCACATCAGCTGGTTTTAGGGCATGCACTGTAAAGAAAAAAAAAAGCAAGCAAGGGGAGAACAAAGGAAAAAAAAACATTGTAATTAAACTTCTTGCAGGAAGGAAGATTCTGTTTTTGCATCATTATAGCCTCATCCTTGTTTCTTGCTAACTTCAGCATGAAAAAGCCTTATTCATCCTTTTTGTAGGTCATATCCTCACAATATCACCTTTGTTTCACCCCGAGTTCTCTGCAGAGGCAGTATACGTTTGAATGTAATGGTTCAAGTTCAGAAGATACGCTTTCCCTGTACTTCCAGCACAATCAATCTATGATGCCTCTATATCAGTGTTTCTCAAGCTTGGCAACTTAAAGATGTGGAGATTCTGAGAGTTGAAGTCTCCACATCTTTAAGTTGCCAAGCTTGAGAAACACTGATATAGAGGCATCATAG